TTCTTTAAAAATAATTTCATCATTTGCTAATTAAAATAACAGATCTTATTCTGTACAGTGTGGTCTAGCATATAATGCAAATTAGACTACCTACTACTCTCATGATTTGTAATGTGTAGATCTCAGTCAGAAGTATCATTCAGAAATTCCTGCAGTGAGTAATAGCATTTCTGTACCAAAAAACTCTTGAGATATTTCTTGAGCAATGTTGTTTCACATTCTCTGAACTCCTTCATTGCGCAAATTTTATTGTAGCATTGGATTCCCATATAATTGGGATTTTCCTGTCCAATTGATAATCTGGAGAATCCTAAATTGATTTCGTCCTTCTGTCGGGTATTATGACTGTGTACCTCCTTTCTAGTCATCAAAGTGCCCTGTTTATTAATAATGTGAAGAATCAATGAGTAAATATACAAACTTGGTAAAGACATAATACCCAATTCAACAAAGTGGTTTTTACATGGTTCTCTATGAGACAAGTTCAGCATGCATCTTATAATTTTTTTTTGAATAATAAATAGTTGGCCAGAGTTATGGGTTTTTCCCCAGAAAACTAGACCATATGAAAGGGACGACTGAATAAGTCCAAAGTACAGTAGTTTGAGCACGTCGATCGATACTGTATTCCATAAGTTCCTGATAATGAAGCAATATGAACTCAGTTTTGAGGCTGTATGATCAACATGCTCATTCCATGTGAGTTTTTGATCTAGATAGACTCCTAAAAATTTTGTACAGGCTGAGTTCTCCAGGGATTTCCCTTCTGTTTTTAGTAACATGCTTTCGTTTATGGTTACATTTTTCGTATTAAATTGGACAGCTATTGATTTGTTTACATTCAAAGAGATTTTATTATTACTGCACCATTGAGAAATGCTTCTAATAGATTCATTGGATTTATTTTGTGTTTCTTTCTTCGATTGTCCTGAGATGATTACATTAGCATCATCCGCATAAAGTATTGGATAGCCTGTTTTACTCAGTTCTTCAGGTAGATCAGTTATAAAAATATTAAATAATGTTGGTGATAGGCATGATCCTTGTGGTGTGCCTGTTCGAATTTTGATCGGTTCCGATCTAGCACCATTGATCTCAACCTGCTGCTCTCTATCCGATAGGTATGAAATTATCCATTCCAAACATGGGCCTCTGACTCCTATCCGATAGAGTTTAGCTTCTAACAGATTGTGGTCAACTGTGTCGAAAGCTCGGCTCATATCGAAAAATAATCCCATGATGTTTTCTTTTTTGTTTAAAGCTTCGTGGATGTGTGTTATGGCTTCATCCAATGCTGTCATTGTAGACTTTTTAGCTCTAAACCCATGTTGTGAGTTGTCTAGAATATTCAATTTTTCAAGATAATTGCTAAGCCTTATATTATACGTGTGTTCATATATTTTACCAATATGGCACTGAATCGCCACCGCTCTGTAGTTTTTGACTTCCCTTCTATTCCCCTTATGTTTGTATAGTGGAACAACCCTTGAGCACTTCAATTGTTCAGGATATTTACCTTCACAAAAGCTTCTATTTATTAAAACACTTAGTGGGTGTGATAGAATATCACCAACAGCCTTCATAACGTTTCCTGGTACATTATCTATACCCGGTGATTTTTTTGTGCAAACTTTCGTGATAGTTCTGCTAATTTCTTCGGGATCTGTGGGGTACAAATAAAATGAGTGAAGCTGGGATTTGATGTTTAGGGTGTGACTTATATTATCTGAGCATTTGCTTTCATTTTCCTCTACAAAGTATCTGTTAAAAAAGTTAGATAGCTCCTTACTATTTCCTATAATTTCACCTTCTGTGTTTTCTATTTCAATTATTTTATCCTTGTTTTTTTTGTTTGTATTTTCTTTTATTATATTCCAGCATTCCCGATTAATGTTGTTGGTGTTCAGTAACCTGTCATTATTAAACGTTTTCTTCGCTATATTGACTTGATTTTCGTAATATTTTTTCAAACATTTATGTCTTAGTGTGTAGTTATCATTATTTAGTGTTTTTGCGGTTTCCGCTGTTTCCCTAACAAGTTCTGACAGATTTTTTATGTATGGTGTAATCCAAGTGTTTTTCTTTTTTCTACTGTCGTTTCTAAATGTTTTTACCGGGAAGGACGACTCAAATAGTTCGAGGAATTTATTGTAAAAAAGTGAGAAAGATCCCTGACAATCTGTTTTATAATCTAAAAGGCTGTCCCAGTCTACGAGCAACAAATTTTGTCTGAAATTATAAATCCTGTCTTGCCTAAATATTCTACCTGTAGTAGTAGAGTTATCAGTTTCCTGATCGATAGTGAAGGAAACTAATTGATATGTATGATCTGATATTTCTGTATCAATTACTTGTGCTAAAAAATTTGGAATATTTGTAAAAATGTTATCAATGCAAGTTTTACTGAACTTTGTAATACGAGTTGGGAGAATAGTTGTTTCTGTCATATTATACTCACTGAATATATTTAGCAACATTTTCTTGTCCATTCGAGAGGAAAGGAGGTCCACATTCATATCCCCGCATATCAGATACGAGTTGTTGTTTTTATAAATAACATTCAAGAAGTCATTCAACTTGTTCACAAAGAGTTTGAAATCTGAACTGGGTGATCGATATATTGCACATATTATAGTTTTTCCTACATTAGGTAAATTGGTTTCTGCACAACATACCTCAAAAAGTTTTTCAGTACATACACTGCTAAAATCTAGTTTTCTGAATGTTATGTCTTTTTTTCCTAATATACATACACCACCGCGGCCAAATGCTTTACGACAGTATGAGTTCATTATCTTATAATTTCCAAAACTGAAGTTCTCCATTCCTGTCTTACACCATGTTTCAGATATACATAGTACATCGACATCATGCTTCTGGAGTAATACTTCTAGCCTGGGAATTTTTCCAGATAGTCCTTGTATGTTGATATTCATTATGGTGAAGGTATTCCGGGCCTGACAGCTGTAACTCTGTGATGGTTTGTGGTAAGATGGTTGTCTCTCACTGGGGTCTTTATTTATAAAAAAATAGCAGGACGGTTTGTGTTCTCCTGGGTTAGGTTTTCTGTGTTGCCGGGTTCCTCATTTAGGTGTCTCCCTAGGTTGAAATTGAATCTGTCGAACAGTATGTTCCTCGGCCAAAAACTGGTCTCGTACACTTGTTCCTTGAGTTGGGGATCTAGTCCCACTATGAAGGATTGATTGTCCGTTCGATTGTTTCGAGTCGACAATTTTTTTACACTTGTGTTCTTGGATTTTGTACGTTCCTCAATGTAAGTCTTTATGTTTTCAGGTTCAATTGCATCTGGAACTCTGGTTATAAACAGCCATAGTTTCCTATCTGTTTTTTCACGGCCATATAAGTCCTTGTCACCATTTCCGCTTCCTTTCCTATATTTATTTTTTCTCCTCTTCACTTCTTTGAAAGCTTCATCATCTTCTTCCCTAGCTGTGTCCCTGGTTAGGTGTATAACCTCGTCTAACTTCTGCCTGGTTTGGACTTGCATGATTTCAGCATTAAGTTGATCAGCCCGTATTTTTGTTTCCCCTGGTATATGGGATTTCCCTGTTGATAAAGACCTTGTTTCTTCATGTTTCATTTCGGTGCTCGTCTCCAGCCCACATTTTTTATTCCGGTAGTCGTCGCCTTCACACTTATCATTTTTCGAGGTCTCGTTTTTTTGGATGTTTACACTTTTTTTTGATGAGTTTGATTTAGTGTCCGATTCCAATTTATGTTCTAAGATTGCAATTTTTTCACTTTGCATCACTATTATTGCTTCCTTGTCACTTATGATTATTTGTTTGTCTCTAATGATCTGCCTCAGGAGATTATTTTCTTCCCGTAGGAAGTCCTCTTCTGTTAAGGTTATGTTGTCTATTTGTGCAGGTTCATGTTTACAATCCGTTTTCTTCAGATCTCTTGCCTGTTTTAAACATGCAGGATGAAAAACTCCATTACATTTCACACATTTCACCTTGTTAATCACTTTTTTTTGGCAGTGTTTGCATATATTTTCAACTTTTTCTGTGGAGTCTCTTGGTACACGTGCTAACAGCTCGTCCGCCATCTTACTATCATAGCACAATCGATAGCATTTTTCATTTAGATAATGTGAGAATCGAATTATGTTTTCATCAGAAAATCAAAATGTTGGCATACACTAACTTCAACTCATCATCATAGTTTATAGGGCCGTACTCATATTCTCTTGAGTTTTGAATCACCAATAATACAGGGTGATTCACGGTGAATGGCGTAGTAGAAGATTATGGAGATCGAAAAGACAGGTCATTCTGACCAATCAATAATCGAGCTATCAGAAAGAAGTAGAAACATGGTTATTTAATTTTTTGAATCTACATTGATTTCACATCAAGTTCGTCTGATATTTATACCCTAAAGCCGTTTTCGCAAATTGTTTTGGGGAATTTTTTTCGAAAAATATATGATAAAATAAATTTCAATATTTTCATGATCCAAAACATTCAGAAGCTAATATTTGGGAGACGAAGACGTCGAGCCTGAGAGGTATAGATCAGGATTTTTTGGGATTTCGAAAAATGACCAAAAGTCTAGTTTTTCGAATGGACCACCCTGTATATCATTGCTTTTCCCAATTCTACATTGATTAGCCGTCAACTTCCCTCGATGATTCACTATATCTATTGAAAACCGTGTCAGAGATATACATTAATTTCGACAACTCATTTAAAATAACGTATAATCTTAATTGTATATAATCTGAATGACAAAAATGCAAATTCCGAGAACTATTGATATTTGGTTAGATATAAGGATTCCACGCTAAGTTGCGAGTGAGGTCAACATGTCAAAACATGCAGTGTTGCCAGTTGAATGCAAATGACTAGTAGCCCAACTGCGCGAATAAGGATATGTCTAGTCCTCCGATCATTGGACATGATATTGATATTTTTCAAGCGACTCCACGAAACAGAATTATTCTAAGAAAACGAAACTGTGATAATACCACTCACCCGATTCTGGTGCAGCTTCTAACTGTTCCGTAGGCCTAACAACTGTATTTCCTTCATGTTCTCGTTGATCTGGTTCACTCACATCTGAGAATTTAAATTCTACCTCAGGAGGCCTTGACAAATAGACAGTATTTGCTTCTAAATTCAGATCCAACATGTATGATGAGGATGATGTCATATTACCCTGAATAATGTTTATAGGCGACATCTGCTCATTGTCGGAATCTAAAAAGAATATTGATTACATACATAAAGGGTTCTAATATAATTCAGATTATTAATCAATTAACCCTCTCATATGGAATGTTTCAATGTATTTAGAGGCAGTTGACCTGAAATGTCAAAAGAATTCGGTGAATTCAAAAATACCAAAATGAGATACATGACAACACATGGCAATACAAAGGTGAATAATCAGTGACGTACCTGGGAAATGGATGAGGGGGATCTATCCCCTCCCATACGCTGATACTCCTAATATTATTATCAAAGACGAAATCAGAACGTGACACGAACATTTGAATAAATGTTTGAAAATCAAAAACAAACGTCAGGCACTGGCCTGTTTGAAGATTTGTAGTCAATATGCCTATCCAAATGTGTACAAACTTCTGCAAATTTTCTGAATATTGCCAGTGTTCAGTGCGACACAAGAAAGCATCTTCTCTACTTTGAAGTTCATCAAAACATATTCAAGAAATACGTATGCCCAAGTAAAGGTCAATGGACTTTCCATGCTATCAATTCTCAAAGTCATATCTATTGAAGAAATAATTGAGGAAATTGTTGTCAAGCCAAGGCGCTTAGATTTCATTCTGTAATGCTCAAAATTAGTGTAGTTACTAATAATCATGAATTGAAATGTGTTTTGAAAAAAAAATTGTACCCCCCCTCCCAATGTACACTTCTGGGTACGCCACTGTGTGATTTCGGACTGATATATATATACATATATGTATTCATTCAAGGTGTTTCAGGTCAAAACATTACAGACCTGTTGTACTGGATTCCTGTGGAATTTGTTGAACCCAGTGGGGTTCTTCATGGAAAGGCACATCAAAATTCAAAGATGTCCTAGATGACTGCATTGACCTGATGTTTCCTTTGCTATAGAAAGCATAACCATCAACAAACGTTTGTGGCTCAGACACACTTTCAATATAACCACCTTCTAAAAGCGCCTGACAGAGTGCAGATGCTTGGATTCTGGAAATGTTAATGTACATAATTATGTATGAGCATAATGCCAAATTTGCATGTTCGTTCAATATTTTTCGTGGTTTAATGAGCGAACAGCGCTACAAAGCCACATTGATAAATAATGAATCACTATGTTTAGTCAAAAATTGAACAACGTTTGTGACGAAAATGAGTTACTCGCCTATTTTTTGCTTTTTGCTGAAAAATCAGCCAGTCCACTAGCTCAGATCCTAAGAAACACTCAGTATAGGTTTTGAGCCTATATCTATGTGTTTCAAAATTAATTCCTATAGTTGGTTTACATATTTCTTCGAAGAGATTCCGCAAAGATATTGAATTTTGAAGAGCCTTACACTTCTCTTCTGTCGTTAGATATGATGTGTTTGACCTGAAATAGACATAGTATGTTTTGGCTTTTTGGACATGGTTCCATCAGTGCTAATAGTTGAGTGACCTTTATCTAAAAGAAAGGGAAGTAATTGAATTGGTTAAAGGTGGTCTTAAATATTTCTATTCACTTCTACCAAACCGATTTCATCGAAACAAAGGATTTAAAAACATAGTCCTACAGTTGGTATATCCTGAAAATGCCGTTTTTATTTATTTAATGAAACTGGAAGTTTCCCGTTAGAGCAAGGCTTGAAAAACGTTATCTGCCGAGTAGATTAGTGTTGTGTTGTCACAGCCCCTCCCAAGTCAGCGAGTAGTCAGTGTTCATTATTATGTTTTCACCATTACTAGAGGAAAATGCCGCCTGAAAAGTGGTGTATTGTTTTGTTTGCAACTTCGCAAAAAACAATAGTCCGAAAGTGTCGTTAAAATCAATCTACAAGCACATAGATCTTTGTATTTTTCAATAAATAGGTATCTCTTTCATCTATATTGTTCATATATAATGTTTATGATATGTTCTACTTTGAATGATATTATTCATTCATCTGTTGAAAACCCCAGTGTCACACATTCACCTATGCCTATGCAGGTACATTTTGACACCGTTTTACGGTATTCAACAAGGCATTATCAAGTGCTGAAGATTGCGTCCTAGTTGGATTAATTATTGCAGTTCGATGCTGGCCAGTGCTAATTAGATGAATGAAATAACGATTACCTAAACTGGTTCTTTCGCGATAAAGTGTACTGTGAAGCACCAAATAGGGGACGGGACCGGAAAAATTTCGTTTTTATTTTCGTTTGCGTGAATATGCCTGATTCATGTCCCAAATGCAATAGCCTGATAAGGTCAAACTCAGTTAGTATATGGTGTGAAACATGTGATAAATGGTACCACAAGGAATGCTGGACTGACAACTGAAGAAATCAACATTTTCGCGAAGGAATTTGAAATAAAAGATGACAAGCGCTGGAAATGTAGCTTATGTAAAACCAAACATGGAGATAAGAACAATGACTTGGGAAATATCATTGAGAAATCTGACAGAATAGATCAAGACCGCCTAGCTAAAGAGATTGCACTTGAAACATGAAACTTATGAATTCCTTTCAACTTTCAACTTAAAGGTGAGCGGCAATTCGAAGAAATTAATCGGAAAATTAGGAATCCAATATCTGTCCGACTCATTAGACGATTTTAAAATTCAGAAAAACGAGTTCACGACTATGAAGATTCAAGTAGAAACTATCTCCAAAGAAGATGGAATAATTAAAAAACAATTCACTTCCTTTCAAGCACAAGTCAATCAATTTTTCCAAGATCAGAAATCAAGGAAAATAGCAATTGCCGGATTACCAACACAGCATAAAGAAGTGGATAAGGAAGTTGTACATAAAGTTCCACACATGGTTAGTATTAACCATAATTCTATTTTGGATGCATACCGCATTAACACTGGGAAGAAATATAACTCGTCAATACTTGCAGTTCAGACGCAAGGAGTCAAAAGTTGAGGCAATGATGAAGAGGAAAACAAAAAAATATTTTTGAATCTGCCAGAAATTTTAAGAAAACAAATGGGTACAAATTGGTTTGAGGATGGCAAAATATATATTCGTATAGACAATAATATTGAAATAATTCAGATTAAATGTGTTGAGTGACATAGGCAAACTGACTCGAGGGCAATATATGATTATACTAGTTCAGGAAGATTCACTATTTTTTTATGGAAAGTTTGAAAATATATAACATGAATATTCATAGTATGTGGTATGAACTCTAATTATCAGAGAAATGGCTATACAGCGATGAAGGTAATCTGATTCAAATCCCAGGATATAATAATATCAATTTATGTAGAGATTTTGATAGAGGTGTGTAATATAGTCAAAAGTATGTACAATATAAGTCATAAAAAATCAAAAGTTGACCATATGATAGCAATTTTCATTTCAATACTGAATACAGGCTGATTTTAAAATGAGTGCATATATTCAAGACATATATATGAGAGAGTCTAACAAAAATTACTAAAATATTTGATTTTTCCAAAGTCTTCACATTAACGAGAAATTTCATTTTGAAAATTGAACATAAAATGCTTCGAAATTCGAGTACGCCACTGGGAAGCAAGTGAAATCAGCGGAATCCCAGGGAATCCTCAATTCGTCATTCACTAAAGTCAAAACAAGACAGTGATGCCAGATTGTTTCAGAGACGAATATCCTGATAAAAATTTTTCACAGAATGAATATGAATTGAAATAGGTTATGGAAACTTATAGAGGTGAATGTAATATGTACAGGAGCCTTATTTTTTAAAGTTTACTGAGAGAACTGTGGGATGATTATCTCCATGGATCACGAGAGACGGAGAGAAACATGAGGGGAATGATAGAACGTCCCCCTTCCTTCAATTCGAAAATAAGGCCCCAGCGGGTATACAAAATTAGCAGACAATAAATAGGTACACAACATACACAAAGTTGAAAATCGACTCACCTAGTAGATTTTTTCATACCTGCTCGAACAGCAAAACTACCGAGAGCAAACAAATACTAATATCGAGTCCATTCCAGACTAATATCGTCCTTGTTGGTTCATATTCGCACTCAAACCATCGAAAACGACTCGACGACGACATATCCTTCCTGGCAATCTCACATTGAAAAACACGGTCACGACCATATCACGATTATCACGACACAAGACACAACATCCAATTATTTTATTTTTTATTTTACGTTTACAATTATTTTACAAACCAGCAACCACACAAACAAAACTATTATCATATGATCTGTCAACATCATTTCTCAGAACAGTAGTATCTGTGACCATAGATTTCCTCTTTGCTGTGACCTTTGACAGTACTAACTAGGATTGTTCGCGATCAGAAAATAAACAATCCGAAACAGTTACAAGCATGCACAAGTCCAGTCCACAGAACCCAAAAAAATCATACAGTTCTGTGAAACTGCGCATGCTTCTGACAGTTTCGGACGCAAGAATTCAGATGACCATGAATTACTAATAGGCGATTTCTACGGCCCAATCAGAAAGAGCAAAGTAGCGCCTGCGTGGTTGCGATTCATCCTGATTGGACACAGCTGATTGGATTTGTGAGATTAGTGTATAGTGAGGAAGTATCATTTTTTCTTTTCAAGAACTTTATTCTGATAGTGCTACAAAAAAAAATATAATATATAGATATACAGATATGTTAAATGAATGTTAAATATTAATGCAGTATCTGACAAAGGTTTATCCAAAGCAGCATCTAATGCTGGTCTCGGAAAACTTACTAAAAAAACAATTGCAACATATACAATTACAATTCGAAATTGATTATATATGTATATCAACTATAATATCATAGGATGCGGAAACAGTATGTACCTACCTATCTATTCACAACTCTCCCTAATGTTTACAATATACCTACAACCTACATTGCTCAACTTAAAATTATGTGGGTCTCTCATTCAGTTTATGAGTATAGAAATTTTTTATCTGATTCTTAAAAATACTAACATTTGGGCTATCTGTTATTTCTTTGGGAAGAGTATTGTAAGTCTTCATGCACTGACTGATGGGGTTGTTTAGGCCCATATTGGTACGCACAGGTTCTAAGAAGATATTATTTTGTGTTCGGGTATTGTGATCATGTAGCTGATTAACAAAAGTAAAGTTGGTATTACATTTAAGTTCATTTCTTATAACCTTATATGCAAATTTCCCTTGCTCAATTTTCAAGTTGTCTTGAATTGGTAGGATTTGAGTTTCTTTGTATATTGCATCTGTTGATGTTCTATAATTTAACCTGAATAAGATTTTGATAACTTTATTTTGAAGAACTTTAATTCTATTGAAAAGTGTTATTCCACATGTACCCCATATTGGAATTAAATATGTAAATATTGATAAGAAATATGCACTGTAGATTTGGCGTAATGAAGATGGGCTTAGGTAGTCTCTGCAGCGATATAGGGCACCTATCATAGGTACTACTTTTTTTTCTATGTGGTTAATATGATTACACCAATTTAGGTTTTCATCAACTACTAATCCTAGATATTTAACATCATGAACTCGAGATATTTCTTCTCCTCCTATCTCCACTGTGAGATTTTGTACATTTTTGTTTTTCTGTGTGAAAATTATATATGTTGTCTTTTTAGTGTTGAGTTGAAGTTTATTATTTTTAAGCCACTCATAATAGCGTGCGAGATCTGTGCTTATCATTGTTTTTAGTAGTTCAATCTCCTTATCTTTATATACAAGAACGGTGTCGTCTGCAAATTTGGAATATCTACAGTTAAGCTTAGCATTTTTTAAGGATAGTACATGTAGTGTATATAATAGAGGCCCAAGGACAGACCCTTGAGGCACACCTGCTGTTGTGTTTTCGGTTTCACTAGATTGTTCATTAACTATTGTAAATTGGTTTCGATTTATCAGATATGTTTTGATCAACGAGAGAGCATTTCCCCTTATTCCCATTTTTTCAATCTTACTAAGTAATATATCAAAATCTACTACGTCAAACGCTTTTCGCAAGTCAACAAATACTGCAAGAACGAAGTATTTTTCATCCAGCGAGGAAGCAACATAGTTAACGAAATCCATAGTTGCACTCAAAGTATTGCTATTTTCTTGGAACCCATATTGGTATTCATCAAAATTGACATGCACCGTCATGAAATTGATAATACGTTTTTTCAATATAATCTCGATAACCTTAGATAGTGTGGGGATTACTGAAATTGGCCTGTAATTATCCATAATGTTTTTTGGACCAGTTTTGTGGATAGGTGTGACTTTGCTGATTTTGAGGATATCAGGAAATATACCTTGCTTAAATGATTCATTTATAAGATTAACCAGTATTGGTATAATGTACTCTTTGAGTAGCAGTAGATCTTTCGTATTTATATTGTCATAACCAGGTGCTGATTTTTTATTTAGTTTGTCAAGTGCTTCCTGAACTTC